CTTAATTCACAAAGGAAAGGGGTTTGTAATGCTTGCATCGCAAAAGGCAGCTAGAAAGTCTAACATTGGTTATGCATGCATGGAACATGATCCTTCTCTCTGGTTGTGCTTCCTAGAACTCCTAGAAAGAAAGAGAAAATAAAAAGAAAACCGTTTATCAGCTGGCTCATCTGTTAAGTAACTGCCTAAGATGCTATAAAACAGCACTAAAAACTCACCTTTTAATCACATACACTGCAACAGCTATACAGCAAACAATTATAGTGATGCAGATCAGTGCGATTGCTGACGGAGACGGTCCTGTCCCGGGAGAGAAAGAGCACCTGGTTAGTTTGTGCCAGAAACAAAATGACTGACGCTTCTCTGAAAGAGGGAAGGGGGGAGGGGGGGGATTTACATGGTCACACATTTACTGTTAAAGCCAAACAACTAATGTCCATCATCCGTCAGATGACCTCCCCAGAGAGCTACAGCTCATCAGCACCGCTCACTGTATCGTGACGTGGGTTTTTTTTTTAACTCGCCAGAAGCGAAACTGGCGTCATCGCCGTACTGAAAGCATCAGCTGACTCACAGCATAGCATTCACTCAGTCTGCTCTTAGTCACTTTTGTTTGTTATCTTTCTAGTGCGACACTCCTTGACTGCTTCATTGTCACACAGTTTGTCCCAAGTCATCAGGAAATGGATTTAACATGACTTGGAATTTCAGGAAATTCCTGCGTTCCTGATAAGTGAAAAAGGAACAAACAAACAAACAAAAATGACGAAGTTTAGTGAGTCTGAATCTTCCTGTTAGCTCTTAATCACAAACAGTAGTCTATGTTTTAGTTTGATTAGCACCAAATAGAACACAAAACCTGTTTAAGCAAGATTTGCATCCAAATATCACACTCTGGGCAAGCTGTGGTGGAGGAGTGACATCACTTTCAGTCAGTGCGCACTCTGCTGGGAACGTTCCAGGAAGCTGGGACCAGATCACCACAGGGACTTCCTACCTGCATCATTTTCTAAACAACCACAGCTAAGGTGTCACTCAAAACTCTGTCTCATAATTTCACTCTTCACTTCCTGATAGTTAGATATTTAGTAATAGTTTCATGGAAGTCTTTTTCCCTGTAAACTCCACCTACGCTTAAATGAGATGATTAGAATGAACTCCCAGCGCGTGTTCATTTATTAGGAATATTTTGTTTCCCAGCATTACGCCAGTGTTATACATAAATGCGGTTACATAAAATGACTCGTGCATACCTCTCTGGTCATCCCCGTCCGCCGATGCAGAGGAGGAGAAAGCGATCCTCTCTTCCCTCTCTCCAATTTTTCCACGGTTCAGCACACACGCCGCGTGTCCACGCCAACCGGGAGGTACTTTCACAGTTATGTTGCTGCTGGCGTTGAACGTGTGGTCGCTGTTTTTTACTGTCACTGTCTGTGGTTCTTCTGCGATTGCGGCTCCATCTGAAAGGTCCCACTCTATGGTGGGAGCTGGTTTGCCTGTGGCGGAGCAGCTAAACACAACTTCTCCATCTTGCTTTGCGTGGTGCATTGTGTTCACCTTTGATATCCCTTTACGGACAAATGAAATATTGATCAGTTTGAGAACTGCAGCCAGCTTAATGTCACAAGTAACAGTAATAATAAAGGTCAGGATTTTTTCCTCTCTTTAACAAAAAAGAAAAAGAAAAAAAAAAAGCTGGCTCTATTTTTTTCTTAACATAACGGCTCTCTCAATTTCAGAGGTTACTTATAATGTCCGTTCATATGAATGGGTTTGCAGCAATCTACCTTGCACTTTGAGGCAAATCTGGCTTCTTTTTGAGCCGCCAGGAAAGATGTTAAAGGCGCAGAATAAACAACTCTCATCCTCCCATGTGAGATTCGTCAGTTTGATCGCCGAAGGGCTGAAAGACTCTTTCGTAACGAGCACCTTTCCACGGTAGGGCGTGTTTACATCTATTCCAAAGCGCTCGCTGTATGTTGCCATGTCCTCCACTGTCCCCTTGACGAACCTTTGCCAAGTAACCTGCAGCACACCTGCCGGTAAAAGCCAAAAGGTAATCCAGTAAGCACCCTGCATAGACTGTGTTAATATTTAACTAATGTTCTGGATAACATCAGCAGCTCAGAGATTAGGATCTGGGCGAGGACAACAACTAAATAATAGAATTCATAATAATAATAATTTAAAAAACAAACAAGC